TAATTTTGGTACAAAGTGTGAAACTGAATTTATATGGGGTTTGTTGTATTGCCAGCTAGACTTTTATAAAAAAATAATAAACATTAACAGCCGCACTCACGAGTCGTTTAATGATTACTTAAAGGCTTCCTCTTTAGAGACTTGAAAAAATTTCCTCTCAGGGTCAGTTATTGGTTCATTAACAGCCGTCCTCAGAAACGTTCCTTAAATTAGCTCTAACGGGCACTTAACTAATGATCGTTAAAACTGTTAATTAATGTTTCCTCTCAGAGTTAAAAATTATGAAATGAAAAATTTAAGTATGTCCCTAGTTGCGGCCCTTTATTTTTGTGGCATCACTCGCTTTCTTCGTTCAGTTTGAAATAAAATATAAAAATAAGTATTTATATTATTTTGCAACAGACGCAATGGCTCAGCGAGCAGAGCACTGACGTGCCATTCGAGAGACTCGAGTTCGAGTTATAGGGTAGGAGAGTTTTCTTCTTCCTTTTTTATTTATTTTTATTTCTTGTTCAATTTTTTAAACTGTTTTTATTGAATTTTTTTTTGCTTTTTTGATCTAATTTTCTTTTGATTTATAGATTTTATTGCCTTAAAAAGGAAAAAAAAATATTTAAATTAAATTAAATTTTTAGAAACTGTATGCTAAAAACCAAGGAACAGGCCAATTCTGCCATCTGTCTTTCAACTCACCGCAGTCTTTTGAGAGACAAAAGTCTTTATATTCCGGTAACTATCTTGAAACCTCTATTCTGTATTTCGAATGACTAATTGAAAGATGTGCTAATAACGTTATTATACTTATTGTTTAGCAATAAGTTTTCTAAAAACTAAACGAAATGAAAAAAAAAATTTAAACAGGAAAAACAAAAAATTTGAGAAACTGAAAGTAAAAGAAAAAATATGAATTAAAAAAGTTTCTAAACTTTAAATAAAATAAAAAATATTAATTTTTTAAGCAATAAAAAACTGACAAAAGCTTTATTTAAAAAAAATCGTTGTCGAGATGGCACAAAAGTGCTCTGCTCACTAGGCTCCCATTTAACGGTAATTTTCAGAAATACGAAAACTGCGTTATTTTATTATCTACTGAAGATTATTCACTAAAAATTGATATTTACAATAATTTTTAGACAAAAAATAAGAATATCATAAGTTTTTGGAAAATGGGCGTAGCCTCGCCGACTTATGGTTACATGTGTATATCTTGGTAACCGCTGCACTAATTTCTTCCAAACTTGGCATAGTTGGTGGCGTTGGTACAGCATACCAAATGGCCGAAAATTTTTAAAATCGGACAATAACCACGCCCACATCCCATATAACGGTAATTTAAAGAAATACGAAATCTTCGATAAATCAGTAAATATTAAAGCTAATTTATTTATAATAATATTTATATGATGCTTGCAACAATTCTTTACCAAGAAATACGTTTATGATAAAATTTTGGAAAATGGGCGTGGCACCGCCGGTAACCGTTCTACCAATTTTTACCAAACTCGGTACGGTTATTATGATTGCCACATAGAAGCAAATCGTTGAAAATTATTGAAATCGGACTAAAATTACGGCCGCTTTTCATATACCGGTAAATTCCAGAAATGCTCGAAACTTCAATATTAAATATTGAGGACGCTAATTTACTCAAAATCGATACACCCCGGCTTACCATGTAGCGGTAATACTTGCGCCGGGTATTTAATGTTCTGCTCCGCCCGAACTTAGACTTTCTTACTTGTTTATATTTGTGTTATTGCTACAGTAGTATCGATTAAGAGTTAGCGATGTAATTTCCGAGCTTGCAAATTTGCAAACCTGTTGCTGTCTCATTAGGGCTATTCGCGATCCGGTGCAAATGGCCTAGCATCATTGCATTGCAAATTTGTATTGCAAATTATTTGCAATACACAAACAAAATACACGCATTTGCATTTGTCATGGCTTGGCAAATTTGGAATACCGAAAATCCATAGCATAAATATGCTATGCATTGCATTCATAAACAAAACCAAAGCTGATGCACAAAAAGTGTTTTGCAAAAGCTTTACCATGACAGTTTAATAAAGGTCGCTCACAATCCATGGCATATTTCTGCAATTGCATAAATTTGTCAGCTCTTATGCACCGAATCGCGAATAGCCCTATTATGTCGCGCATTGTTTCTTGTGCGTATGGCTATACAATATTATTTGCGCTACGACAACCACCCAATAGGGATTAACTTCAAATCGCCAAGCAATGTACATACTAATGTACATATATACATACATATCGTCGTTTAAAGTACAAAACCGCCTATCAACAAAATGCAAAACCGCGTATGTGAATTATGTAAATTATTTTCTAGAGAGTAAAAACACGCATATTTCAAAATGGTTCTTTTTTACCTTCCTTTTATTAGCTCGGGATGTAACTATGTAATATTGATGCGCCTAAAAGATGCAGCGATTTCTATTCTCAAGTTACATACCTGTTGCAGTACGAATGGCAATTATAATAGGGAGGTTTTAGTTTTATAAACTATATTTTTTTATTTATAAAGCAATCGCATTTCTGTCTAGTATTATTTCGGGACGAATGGATTGAGGATTGAGCCAAGAGCTTCTGTGAGCAAATCCAATTTTTCGCAGCAGCTGTCAGTTACGCGGTTTTGTACTTTAAGCGACGATTTGCATGTACATACATACAGCCTCAGCATTTCTATGGGACATTGTTATTATTGCCGCCATAGAGCGATGATTACTGGCGTTATTACTGGGGTCGTTTTGTTTTGTTTAAATAAGCTTTTGCAAACTTGACTCGCCTTATTGTGTTTCTTATTTGTTGCTTATTTGTGCGCTTTATTATGGGAATTTCTCGGGTTTTTCTAAACTCACACAAAACCAACTTCAAATGCTAGCACGTTTACTAGCGTCATCATTTGCTTGCCATGGCTTTATCGCTGCCATCAATATACATATATGTATGTTTGTATATATTTTTACTCCATCACTGCGTGGGTTGAGCGACTGAGAAGTTTTGCTTTCATGATTAGTATTAAGTCATAGTAAAAACAAACCTGTATTGCCCATATGAGTGTTGTAATGTCTTTCACACGTAGTAGGTATTTTGTTTAGTATTTACCGTAAAAACAACTTTTTATTTACATATGTATGTAGTTGAGTTGCAAAATGTAAACATATTTATGCTTTCGAGAAACCCACAAGCATACTTCGCATAGAGCCAAGAATTTATAGAATTAAATAAGATTAGTTGTTGTGTCAGCGCGGCAATAAAATGAGTAACCAACTACCGGAGCGTACAGCGTTCATTCATAAACAAACTCATTAAAAAAGAAACAACAATGATAGCCTTCGTAAATATATATATGTATGTTAGGTACAGTTTAAACTGGTTAATATGAACTCGTTGTAAATAATAACTATACATGCGTCGGATTTTTATGCAAAACAAAAAAAAACGTTTAAACATACATATATACTCGTGGCCACGCAAAGCTTACGACCACTTAAAAACAAAAATTATTGGTTTTAAAGTATAGTTCAATCCCAAACAAAAACTGTGTAATTAAAGTTTCGCGTATGCAGCTAAGTAGCCCTTTTAATTTTAGTATAATAATTTAGGTATTCACAAGGGTGTCGTGAGTGTCGTATTGTTGTATGTCGTAAACGTTAAACGCCTAAAAAATATATCAAGAGGGGTTTGCAAAGTACTATCAAAGTCATATTACGAATTTTTGCAGTGTTAAAAAAAAAGCAGTTGGTTATGGTTTTAAGTTTTCAAAACATCTATTTAAGCTTTTAAAGTTTATGACATAAAACAATACGACACTTAAGACACCGTTGTGAATCCCTCAATTCTGTAAGTCAAAGTGATTTTTGAAAAATTTTCATCCTTAAAAAATCGTATTTAAAAGTTTGAAATTTTGATGAATATTTTATAATTTTTTCTAAATTTTGTCAACAGTTTGAAACTTATATTTATGTAGTTTTTTTGCGGTTTGAACTATGTTTCACCTGTGTGTTATCGAAACTTCCCAACAAGCATTTCAGTAAATGTTTTTAAAAATAACTTAAAATAAGTTTGCTATAATAAGCGTTAAATAAGCATTTTTAATATTAAGCTTATTAAAAGTTTTTTCAAATAAACCTTTAATAAGTTTTGAGAGCGAATGTTTATAAATAACTTAAACTTATAAATGAAATGCAAATGCCAACGACATGAAGTAGTAAATATAACATTTTTTCAATCGTAAGTGACGTGTTAACGTTTTTTAAAATATATTATTAAAAGAAAAAATTAAACAAAACCAATGCGGTAAAGAAAATCCAATCCAGGACCCGCTGCGCTAATCGGTGGAGCATTCGAGTCTTCAAATGATGAGTTCTCCTTATCCTTTCTTAGTTTAACATTCAATTAAAAATGTATTAAATTTTCTTCAGAAAAGTTAATCAATGAGAATGGCGGCGATGAAGCGGATGTAGCTGCATCGATGTCGTTTTTCCAATTTGCCAATAACCGCATGTAATTGAAAGCACGCAACAAGATGTAATAATTAACTTTTTGATGCTTAATTTTTGTGTGTTATCGTGAATTTGTATGCTAAAATGTCTATTCCCTATATATATTTTCGCGACTGTAGATGAGTCCGCCGAAAATTCGCATTTCTTTTAGTTTCTATTTATTAAGTAATCTATGTATTAGTTTTTAATGAAATATCTTTAAATAAAGGGTTATAAAAATGTTTATAAAAAGCTTTCTTTTGAACATTTATTACAAGTTTATATTTCTACGCTTGTAACCAATGTTCCTTTTCGATTATTTTACGCTAACTTTCAAGCGTTTTATAAACAAAAAATCAACGTTTTGTAAGCTTAATTGAAAACTAAAAAAAAACTTTCTTTAAGTTTATTTTGCTTGTTGGGTTACATTCAATTTTTAAAACTTCTCCATTCGTTTTAAATTTAGAACGTATGTTTTCTTTATCTCTTTTTCAGGCGAATTTTGTGTTCATTTAGCTGCCGAAGCGGGCCATCTGAAAATATTAAGCATTCTAATACAATATGGCGCTGATATCAATGCCAGGGTAAGTGTTTTGACTCTTACCATACAAATGCGTCAGTAAAATTTCATTTAATTTTACAGGAAGGAAAAGGCGGCTACACACCGTTACACATTTCCATTGAAAGGGGCAATGAAGAACTTTTCAATTTCCTACTTGACGATTGCAAACAAAAACTGAATTTGGAAACAACAACTTTTGGTCGTCTAACTGCATATCAATTTGCATGCATTTTGAAGCGTTCGCAAATGCAAAGTGTTTTAGAAAATCATGGCGCAGAGCCGCTCGCTCCGCCAGACAGCGAATATGAAAGTAGCGAGGATGAATCAGATTTGGAAGATTCTATGGTGAGCGTAATAGCCTAATAATGATTCAAAGTAAAGGCAAAGAAATGTTTGGAAAAACAATTAAAGAAAGGAAAATGGTTTCATATTTCATATTCGTATGTGCATACATATGTATATCTAACAATAGTCTACCAACTATAAAAATAAACCAAAGTTATAAAAAAAGAAGTTTAGTGATAGGAATTGCATTACATGCACTTGTGGCCACTCAAAGAAAAAACGTTCTATGTTCTAGTAGAACTATCATATTAAAAGACTACAAACACCTGCAAAAATGCCCAGCTTTATTTATTACCGCCAGTATTCGCGTAATAAAATAAAATGTACGCTTAGGATTTAATTTTTTAAAAGAAAACAGTTTTTTCAATGATGTTTTTGTTTATTGATAGGGTTTTGTATGAAAAATTATGTATATCAGGCAAATGACCTCCACGACTTTGCAGGCACATATGCAATCTTTCGCACCGAGCAGCTGCGATTGCTTGGAGAGCTTTTATGGTTTTGCAAAAAAAAAAACATGCAGCCAAACTGAAATATTTGTCAACAATTAAAACTCGTTCTGTAGTGTAGTGCTGCATTTTTCCTACCCCGAACTATCTAGGGCTTCTTATATTTGATATTTTTATGGCGCGTTCACACAGAAAGTCGAGTGGCGTCGAGCGAAGCAAGGCGGAACAAAGCAATGCTGCTGGTGTTCACACTGACCGAAGCGAAGCGGAGCTTTTCTCATGGCTGCAAAGATACCACAACTTACCGGCAAAAGTATTTGCTGAATTTTATTCAACAGATTAGTTGTAGAATTCGTTCATGGTGTAATAATAACAAGGTGTTGTCAGTAACTTAACCTCACTTTTTTGGCAGGTCAATTCCGGTCACGCATTTTAAAGTACTAGAAAAAAAGAAATTATTTACTACTTCTAATCCGTTGGTGCATACTATTTTAAATTAAATGTTGAAAAACGTATAATTACAGGCTTATAAGCCTGAATATATGTTTGTATTGGCAGCTCCACACAGCTTGGACATATATTGTAACTTTAGAAAAGTAAAAGCCGTAAAATAAGGCAATTTCCTATAAGAATGTAAATGATTTTCGAAATAGATTAAAACACATAAATATCGATAATATAAGCGAATTCCTAATTTAATCATGCAGCCACTCTGTTCTAGTGTATCAGTAGTTCATTTGGCTCAATATTATGACAATGCAGCAAAAGTTATTTAATATAAAAAATCGCCTTTCCATACGATTTTTGTGTACGTTTTTTTCCATTGATAACTACGATATCTTTTATTTTTCTACTTTTTGAGGACACAAATTATACAAATCCAGCAATTTTAAATATTAATATTGTTCTGAAAACACCAAGTTCTTTAAAAATCGCGATAAAACGAATTACTAAATTGGAGATACTATTTCCCAACCAATAGTAGTATTAAAATTAAGATCGGCAGCACTGAAAATAAGCATGCTGATCTTGTCAAAACCACAACAAACACGTCGCTACTGACACCATGGAACTCGTTTTTATTTCGTTTTTGCTATTTTGTTTGCAGCAGCGTCATTAAGCTGAAAAATTCAAAATCAAACCATGATAAAAAATAGAAGGTATTTCCACTTCAAACTTTTTTGACGGTTACAGGCATTTTTTGAAGTTTCAGAAATTGTACATTTTAGAAGCAGCGTTGCCACATTGGCTTTAACAAAATATAATTGATGGTATTTTGGGATGGGAGTTTTGTATAGCTTTTGATGATTCTTAATCTTTTCAGACAATTCTAAATAGTTAATTTTTGAGTTTTAAAATGTGCAATAATTATGATTAGAATGTTTGCGTGGTAACAAGCAAATAGCGAATTACATTAATTCACCTCAGGAAACCTGAAAAGAAGGCATATCAGGGCCGTAAAGATTTGCGGATTTTTATAAAATATCTGCAATTCTCCTATTTATGTATTATGTATGTATATTGGACTCTATCACTAAAAAAAGTTTCGGTTTCTTAAGCTTAAACTGGTTTGCCATCTGAGGTGATTTTTTTCAAAAAAAAAAAAAAACTTTAAAAAACCTATTTTCATTCATAAAAAACTCAAGGAGGTATTTTCAAATCGGTTCAGCTGACGTAAATCATAATATTTTTCCGAAATGTTTTGGTGAAGGTCTAAAAATATAATAGATTTTATAATTCCGATGGAAAACAGTACCGATTTTCTTTTTTTGTGGGGAGTGATATATGTAGTATAATGTACATATGTATGCAAATATAATATACTCTAATTGAGGAAATACATACGTAATTAATTGCACTTCGGTAAGATTTTATTCCTTCACGTTACAAGCTTCTAACGACTTTTTTTAATAAACAAGAAAATTTTAAAGATTTCAATCTGGAATCCTTGCACAAATTTATAAGATTCCTACAGTTTTCAAACGCGCAATTAATTTTTGATTTTATTCAAATTATTACTGATTTTTCGTTTTAAAATCTGTTGTTTGAAATTTTTTCAAAGGTAGTTGAAAAATATTTTTTTTTTGTGGCTGGTAGC